AGTGCAATTGCAACGTGGTCAATCGGGACCGTAGTCAATTGCAACGTGGTCAATCGGGACCGTGGGCAATTGCAACGTGGTCAATCGGGACCGTAGTCAATTGCAACGTGGCCAATCGGGACCGTGGTCATATTGCAACGTGGTCGATCGGGATCGTGGTCAATTGCAACGTGGTCAATCGGGACCGTGGTCAATTGCAACGTGGTCAATCGGGACCGTGGTCAATTGCAACGTGGTCAATATCAACGTGGTCATACACAACGTGGTCGATATTAACGTGGTCAATCGGGACTGTGGTCAATATTAACGTGGCCAAACGGGACGCTCCCATATTTTTCAGTCGTAATGACTTCCGGATGGTTGCCGCATCCGTTTGCAGTATGGTGCCAACGTTTCGCAAACATTGCAGTTTGCATCATCAGGGCTGGGAGATTCTGATACTGAGCTCCCTTCAGTTGCGGTAGTCCTTAAATACCCGTGGCCCCACTCTTGTGGAGGGGGTGGGGAGGGGAAAGGGTTGGAGGGATGGAGGGCAGCCAATCGGGGCGTTGTCGACTGATCAATTATAAACTGGGAGATCGGTGTGCCATATCGGACTAACCTTTGTCGAATAACCTTTGTCGCGATTCAGGTTATCAAGGTGTTTCCAAATTTCAAGGCCTTCGCGGTGTTTTCGCGCGAAATAGCCTTGAGACGGAATTTTGTCAAACTGAACGGAGTGTCCGGTCTCAATCTTGTGTTCGGCTAGGTCTGATTGTAAGAAGAGTCCGTATTTAGTACATCGTTGGTGTTCTTTGATTCCTGTACTGATCTTCCTCCCGGTTTCTCCTATGTATACTTTTCCGCAAGCGCATGAGATCTTGCAAACCCCTGGGGCTGCCAAATGGGATCTCCAGTCCTAGGGATTGGGAAGCAATTGAGAGAGCTTGTTATATTGTTTGAAGAATGCTTGCTCAAAACTCTGCTGATGCGGTCCGTCGTGCCTTGGAGGTACGGAAGTACCACCGCCTTTTTCTTCTCTTCCTCTGCCTCTGGCGTCCTGGAGTTGTTAAGACCGGGTTTCTTGTTTGTCAGCTTCTGGATTGTGCGGTTGATGTTTCTGCTACTGTATCCATTCCTTGTCAGGGCTCGGTGGAGGTAGTTTAATTCTTCATTCAGGGCAGCTGGTTCCGAGATGGAAAGTGCTCTGAGGAATAAAGATCTGATAAACTATGTTAATTCACCATTTTAATTGACCAGCCGACAACGCCCCGATCGGTTGCCCCCTATCCCTCCGGCTCTTCCCCTCTTTCCTACCCTCCACAAGAGTGGGGGGACACGGGTATTTAAGGACTACCGTAACTCAAGGGAGCTCAGTATCAGGATCTCCCAGCCCTGATGAGGCAAACTGCAATGTTTGCAAAACGTCAGCACCACTGCAAACGGACATAGCACCCATCAGGAAATCATTACGACTGAAGAAGACAGTACCCGCGAAAGCTTGAAAGCTAAGATATATATTTTATAAATGGATAAATTATACTAGGTGCGCAACTAAGTTTCCGGGTTTTTTGATCAATGAAAAATGGAAAATTAAAAAATACAAAAATGGTTTATTCAAAGCATCGTCCCTCGCTAGCTACACATTTTTGTTATCTCTGGCAATACATGAATACCGCGACGATAAAACGACACGTCTTTGGACCGAAACCATTTATCCAACCAATTTTGCAATTCTTTGAAATTGGCCAAGTATAGCCCAGCCAAGCCATGCGCCATCGACAGGAACAAGTGATAATCGAAAGAGGCCAGGTCTGGCGAATACGGGCGGGTGTGGTAGCAGATCCCATTTTAGCGTTTTGATGGTGTCCTGGACGATGGAGGTGCGATGGCATGGAGCGTTGTCGTGCTGTAATATCATTCGTTCGTGTCTCGTATCCCATTCTGGCCGTATTTCGAGTAATGCATGGTTCAAATTAATCAGTTGTTGTCGGTAGCGATGCCCATTGACAGTTTCGCCCGGTTTCAGCAGCTCATAGTACACGATTCCTTTTTGGTCCCACAAAACGCAGAGCATTGTCTTCATTCCGAATCGATTTGGCCGTGCCGTCAATGTTGATGCCTCGCCAGGTGAAAGCCACGATTTTTTGCGTTTGGGATTCTCGAAATATATCCACTTCTCATCTGCAGTAACAATTCGATGCAGGAAACTCTTTCTTTCATGCCGTAAAAGCAAAATTTCGGAAGTGGCTCTTCGATTTTCCATCTGTCTCTCAGTCAACTCATGCGGCACCCATTTTCCTTCCTTCTGAATTTTTCCCATGGCATGTAAACGTTTGGAAATACCTTGTCTAGTCATGTTTAATGCCTCCGCAAGTTAATCTTGTGTTTGCGTATCATCTTTATCCAATAATGCTTGTAGATCGACGTCCTCAATTGTTTTTGGTCTTCTGGAGCGCTCCTTGTCCTCAGTGTCGAAATTACCACTTCTGAAGCGTTTAAACCAATCTTCACAGGTAGTTTTCGATGGTGTATGTTCGCCGTAGGCCTCCTCAAGCAACCGACATGCTTCAGCTGCATTTTTTTCAAGTTAAAGCAGAAAAGCAAAGCTTCCCGCAAATGCTGTTTATTTGGCACAAAACTCGACAACTTCGTTGTTAGAAAAAATGTATTTGCGTTGCGATATGTATTGGTATTACGAGTGGTTATTGTTAACACATGTCTAAGCTACAATAAAAACAACTTTAGACATGTATGTCGACTACATGTGGGCAGCAAGATATAAAATTGTTCAAGCCCCCGGCTTGAAGCCCCACAAGTCTTCTGTGCCGAGGTGCTACTTATTACTTGGCTAAGGCGGTAATCAAGACTCACTAATGTTAAAGTAAAAGATACTTTATTGGAGATCACAAAATGCCGGGTCACGACAAGATGGCCGGTATTGATCGTGACGCTGGCTGATAACAACTGACTAAGTCCGTCCCGCTCGGACAGCACCACCAACGACCACAGATACAGTCGTGGTGTAGAAGGGCAACTCGCTAGTCGCCACACACTCCCCCCCCCCCCCCCGAGTGTTTAACGCTGGAGAGAAAAACAAAAAGAATGTTTGGTATGACAGCTATGCGCAACTTAAGAGCGCTATGTGTCTATCACAAAGAATCGGCGCTGCCGAAGATTACAAAATATTGCAGGAATAACGAAAATTATAATACCGCTGCTTAAAACTAGAGTGTATACGCAGGATGTATCACAAGAGTTATCACTGTTACAATATTGCCGCTGCTTAATAAAACGCAGGATGCAGGAACGTAAAGATAACAATACCGCTGCTTAAACGCATACGCAGGATGTAAAACTGCAAGAATAATAATACCGCTGCTTAAAGACTAACGCATACGCAGGATGTATCACAAAAAGAATTATATTAATATTACCGCTGCTTAGAACAAAAATGTAGACGCAGAATGTGCATTGCAAAACCCGAAATAACATGAGAATAGATATTATACCGCTGCTTAAAGACTAACGCATACGCAGGATGTATATAAAAAAATTTTTGCACTTGGAATAATACAATACCGCTGCTTAGAGACTAAATGCATATGCAGAATGTACGTACAAACCGTGAAAATACGCAACCGTGACCAAATGAAAAATATTATATTATCGAAAATGGAAACAGAAGAAAAAATATATATTCACGCGTATCAAGTGACTAAATGTACGCCTCCGTGTCGAGAGCT